ACAGCCCGGGAGCTGCTGCCTTTGCCTTTGTGCCCTGCTTGCTGGGTGCATGTGCCCTGCGCATGCACGTGTGTGTCCTACACGCGTGTCCATGTGCTCTGCACACTCACACATGTGCCCTGTGCATGCACGCCTGTGCCCTACACGCGTGTCCATGTGCTCTGCATGCTTGGACACATGCCCTGTGCATGCATGCGTGTGTCCTACACGCGTGTTCTTGTGCCCTGCACACACATGCATGTGCCCTTCATGCATCCTGCACACGTGTGCACATGCCCTGCATGCATGTTCATCACCCACATGCGCGTGCACATGCCTCACATGTGTGTGCACGTCCCACATACGTGTGCCCCACGTGTGTGTGTGTGTGTGTGTATATGACACGTGTGTGCAGTACCCCTGTGCCCCGGCACAGCAGCTGCTCACCCCATCCCCTGTCCCGCAGGAAGGGCTGAGCCCCCAGCGGCAGCGCGGGGCAGTGGGGACCCTCTGCGCTGCAGCAGGGCCGTGGTGGCAGCAGGGCCCCCTGCACCCGCCGCAGCCCCCGCGGGCGCCGCCGGCTCCGGGAGGTTCGCGCTGCCCGAGGGGGGCAGCGCGGCCGCGGTGCCGCCTCTCCGCACTCTTCCTCCCTGCCCGCGGGGTTGGACCGCGGTGTTTTCAGCCACCAGCGACTGGAAAGACTTTGCAAGTGCGGCGGCATCTGTGCAATAAAGGCCGCTCTGTTCACTGGGATCTTTCCATGCTCTGTGAATCCCGCCTTGCTCCCTAGCCCTGAGCTCAGGAAGTTAAAGAAACCCTGGGACCGCCATGGAACAGCAGATGCTGCCGCTTCCCAGTCATTTCCCAGGTTCTTTGAACCACTTAAAACTGTGGTAGAAGGATTCCAGGAAAGCCGGGATTTTCCTGCCGCTGCTGTATCCTGTGCAGAGGGCAGCTCAAGCAGGAGCATCCGGCCCAGCTTGTTCCCGCCAGGGCCGCCCTGCGCTGACGGAGCCGCTGGCTGGTGGCTTTGGAGGGGAGAGCACCAGGCCCCGGTGCAGGCAGCAGCCGCGGGCCGGGCATGCACGGGCCCGGCGCGGGCATCGGGAGCTGGCTGCACATCCCGGGTGTGCACGTCCCTTGCACCCTCACTGTACACACGTCCCGGGAGCGCACGGTGCCCCAGCGATGCGTAGGGTCCAGCGCAAGAGCTGGGCAAGAGCAGGGCCAAGCAAGGAGTCAAACTCGCTGCCGAGGCCGAGGACCCCCCAAAGCGACGCCTGGTGCCCCCAGCCCAGCAGCAGCCCCGGTCCTGCCCCAGTGCAGCGAGCAGAGCGTGCAGGATTGAGGTGGAGGGGCTGCCCGCTGCAAACGGGCACGGAGAGGGGCCAGGAGCGCGTCTGGCACCGCGGTGGCCGGGGCTGGGGCCTGTTGCGGGGCAGTGACTCAGCCCCGTTATTTGCAGCTC